CCTGTCTCAAAGACAAAAACAAACAAAAACCAAAAAAAAGACAAAGAAAAATATTACTGGCTATTGCCATTACTCTTGGTTATCTGCTAGAGCTTGACAGTAAGTACAAACATGGAGAAATCAAGCTGATATTAACTGTATTAATTTCTTTTCTGCAGCTGTGATAAAACACTGTGAACAAAGGAGCTTATAAAAGGGTTTTTTTTTAGCTTACAGTTCCAGAGGGTTAGGGTTTATAATGGTGGGGGAGCCATGGCAACAAAGGTGGCCAGAGCAAAAAGCCAAGTGATCACATCTTCAAGCAGGCATAGGAAGCAGAAAGTTACAGGAAATCCAGCAAGGCTTAAGAACTCTCAAAACCCACCCTTGCTTCCTCCAGCATGACCACACCTCCTAAAGCTTCCAAAGCAGTGCCACCAACTGAAAATAAAATGTCCAAACACTTGGAGCCTATGGGAGACATTCTCTTTCAAACCACTGCATTCCATTCCCTGGCCCCCATAGGCTCATGACCACATAAAATGCAAAGTGCATTTAGTCCACCTTCGAAAGTCCCCATAGTCTTTACCAGTCTCAATACTTTTAAAAAATCCAGAGTCCAAGCCAGGTATGGTGGTGCACCCTTTAATCCCAGCACTGGGGAGGCAGAGGCAGGCAGATTTCTGTGAGTTCAAGGCTGGCCTGGTCTACATTGTGAGTTCCAGGCCAGCTGGGGCTACAGGGAGACCCTGTCTCAAAAAGTCCAAAACAAAATAACCAATAGAGTCCAAAGTCTCTTCTGAGACTGACGGCAATCTCTTAACTATAAGCCCCTTTAAAAAATCAAAAGACAAATTACATACTTCCAACATACAATGGAACCAAATATGCACCCCATTCCAAAAGGGAGGAATGGGGGCATAGTGAGGGAATACCAGACCAAAATAAGAGCTGGAACTCAGTAGAGCAAACACCAAATCCAATAGCTCCATGTCTGACTCCTGGTACTTTACTTCCAAAGGGTTTAAATGGCTCAGCCCCTTCCTTTGCTACATGTGACATAACATCTCTCTCTCTAGGGCTGATACAACTCCCTACATGCAACTGTCCTTGGAAGATGTCTCACAGCTCTAGAGTCTCCACCATCTTCTTGGGGTCTCCACTGCCAGTCAGGTTTCACCTTCACCGCTTTTTGCAATGGCCTATCAAGGTCTCTTGGCCTGTCAGGGCCTTCTTTATTCAGGAACACCTCTAGTGCATGCTGCCTGCCCTCCACGGCTCTCTGAAACTGCAGAAGACTGGATGACCCCTTCACTCTTGCATCTTTCATACCTCTAAAGCCAAACATTTCCAAGTTTGGCTGCCAGTTTGGAATGGATCCTGGCCTGCTTTATCCATTTTAGCAGCTTTTCTATGCTGCGATTTTCTAGAAGCAGAAAGCCCCTCTCACATTTTCCTTTCAGAAGTTAGAGGCTTAGCTGGTGTGGTTTTGCCCCTGAAGTACTCTTTCCATTGAGGGCAAATCTCTAGGCCTCTCCTTATCACTCTAATCTCCTTATAAAAGAGAGCCTTTCCTTTAGCACATGCTATGGCTCCAACATTAATCTTAATGCTCTTTTAAAGCCCAAACTGTACATTTTGCATTTCTTTCTGCTCCATTTGCTCCTTTCATTGTAGATCTCCATAATATTGACAACTAATAACCATGCCACCATTTCTATGCTAGGCTGTCTTGAAATTCCTCCACCAAAGAAATTACTTCATTACTTTTAAACTCAGCCTCAGGCAAGCTCTTAGGTTGTGGGCAGAAAGCAGCCAGATGCTTTGCCAAAACATCCCAGTTACTGTTTAAGTCCTTATTTCCTTCTGGAACTACTTTGCTGTCAGCACTACTTTCCTCCAGGCTCTTACTAGAATGGACTGTTAAGCTCTGCTTACAGCATTCAAATACTTTTCTAGTCTAAACTTCAAAAATCTTCAACATTTCTCCAACAACCCATACGGTTAGGTCAGCTTCTTCACAGAAATGCCCTACTCCTTGTACAAATTTCTGTCTTCATTAGCTTTCTAATGCTGTGATGAAAACACTGACCAAAACCAACTTGGGGGAAAAGGGTTTGTCTTACAGTTCATAGTCCATCATCAGGTGAGGCCAAGGTGGGAACTTGGGCCAAGAACCTGGAACACAGACTATGGAGGTACACTGCTTACTAGCTTGCTCCCCTGGCCTGTGCTTAGCCTGTTTTTGTTTTTTCTCTTTTTAAGATAGGATTTTCCTGTAGCCCCAGCTGGTATGGTAGACCAGACTGGCCTCTATCTCGAAGAGATCTGCTTGCCTCTGTCTCCCAAGTGCTAGGATTAAAGGCATGTACCACCATACCTGCATGGTGGCTCACAACCAGCAGTAACTTGGGTTCCAGGTAATCCAATGCCATCTTCTGACCTCATACATGTGGCACATGTATACACACAGGCAAAACACTCATACACAAAATAAAAGTAGGTAAATCTTTTTAAAAATTCTTTTAAACTGGGCCAGGTGGCTTGAGCCTATAATTCCTACTATTTGGGAAGCTAAGGGAAGAGGAACATAAGTTAAAGGCCTGCCTATACTACATGGTGAATTTAAGCTTAGTTTGGGCTAGTATATTCTTTCTGGTCCCAGTATATTTTATACATCAGCAACCAGTGATTTTTTTTGCTTTAAATGTTTGCCTCAAGATATTTCAATTCTTTGTTGGGTATGATGGTGCATCTCTGGCATCCTAGCACTTAGTAGATAGGGGTTCAAGGTAATCCTTGGATACACAGTAAGTATAAGGGTAGCCTAGGTTACATATGGGGGGTTGAGTCTCACATTTGTCATAATTGTCATAATCATAAAGCATCCTAAACCCAATAAGGCTGGGGCTGATCCAGACACCACAGTTTCTCCAGCTCAACTTTTTTACATGGAACTCTGAACTGAAAGTCAGGGTCTCTTAATCATGGATAATTTCAGGGAACTTCAGAGGGAAATCCATCAAGGGGTACCCTTAGCTGGAGTAACCAGAGAGGTTCAGCTCTAGATTAGGCAAAGGATTTTGTCTTCCCATGAGGTCCTGACCCTAATGGCCCAGAAAATAATGTTTTGGTTTAATTCTAGAGATGGCATGTCATGTAACTGGGAATTAAGCTCAACCACCTCATCAAGTCAGTGAACAGCACTAGAATTTCTATAGTTCACTGACCTCTCCTGAGCATATAGAACCTTTTGCGGCAGCTAACTTTCTTGCAGATATAGCACTCTTGACACTGGGCAAAGCAACTGCATCTTCTATACAGCATTTAAAACTAAGCCCTCCAGTGAAGGTGCTTGCAAGGGGCAGGCCTGGGCCATATCCTCAGTTCTTTTCCCTCATGCACTAGAGAGAGCTGTTTGTGCATCTCTTCACACCATCTGAGGCATCATGGAAGGGAAAGAGAAGTCACCTTTCTGGATTGTCTTCCCATTTCAATTTCTATGTTAGGGAGTGAGGTGCCCAGGTCAGTTCTTTGCAAGCTAAGTGTTCTCAGAATAAGAGGGCTGTAACACTAAAAACAAAACACCTCAAACCCAGGTATTCAAATACCCAGTAGTAGTTATTTCCTTAGCAGGAATGGGGGAAAAGGCCACTAAAATTGGAGACCTGGGGCCTAATTAGATAACTTGTGTTCCGTTTGCAAATATTTATTGAGCTTCTATTTGTCAGATACCTCAATATCCAGCTATTCTGAGCTGAGCTCTAGCGTTGGGTTCAGCCAAGGAGAGGCACTGGCAAGACACTGAAGGGCAAAAGTCGAGGAAAATCAAGGCACCCACATCTGCATGCCATCCAAGGTTGCTTCGCTCTCAGAAAGCTTCAGTTCCTTTCAGGCAGTCCTCTTTCTTTTAGGCTCAGAGATCACAATTCTGCACCAAAACTTGTTGGGTCCTTTTGTTTCCATTCTTCCAATGTCTTTGCAAATACCCTAGTCTCTTTTTATTTTTTTGAAATTTTTATCTTATTTTTAATTTTTTATTTAGTATTTTATGTGTATGTGTGTATTGCCTGCATGTAGATTAGTGTACCCGTGTCCTACAATGCCCGGTGGTCAGAGGAGGCTGTCAGATTCCCTGGGACTGGAGTTACAGACAGCTGTTAGCTGCCATGTAGGAGCTGGGATTCGAACCCAGGTCTTCTGCAAGAACAACTAGTGTTCTTAACTGCTGAGGCATCTCTCCAGCCCCCTCGTCTTTTTAAAACTCTCCTCATGTGCCCCAGTTTGCATGGGCCACTTGCTTCCTAATAGAATTCTGACTGAAAGAACCTCAATGGTACAACCCCAACTGACATTGACAGCAGCTACCTAGATCCATGAACCGGGGAGGGTGCAGACACGGGTGTTCCTTCAGTGCTGATGCACAGAGGCTATCAGTACAGTCTTCTCCACTTAAAAGTCCCAGCAGGTCTGTCAGGTATGGGAAATACATCCAGAGTATTAATGGACTTTTCTAAAGGCCCTCACAGTCTAAGATATAGCCACACTGCACCCCAGCTGTTCTGACTCCTTAAATACCGAGCTGACCTAGGAAGAGGCAAGGGAAGAGACTGAGAGGTTAAGAGGAGATCCGGGTCATGAATGTTCTTCAGGAACCACCAGATTTGCAGGGTGGGACTGTAGCTTCCCCGTTTTTAAATATTTTTTGTTTGTTTTGCTTTCAGCTTCGGCTGTCTTTTATACTTCGATTAGATACACGAGGTGGAATCCCAGATGAGTCTTTGTTCTTGGCCAACATTCTTCCTTTCGTTTGGGAAGCTGCTCCAAGAGGTCTCAGACCGCCTAGGAGTTGTCCGGTGACCAACCAATGGGGGTGGAGCAAGCGGTCCCGTCCCCGACCGCTTCCTGGGAAGCTGAGAGACCCTAGCTTCTCTAAATCCACTCTCCCCTCTCCATCCACCTCCTGACGGCCGAGATGGCAGCAACGCTGAGCCTAATTCTTCCTTTCGTTTGGGAAGCTGCTCCAAGAGGTCTCAGACCGCCTAGGAGTTGTCCGGTGACCAACCAATGGGGGTGGAGCAAGCGGTCCCGTCCCCGACCGCTTCCTGGGAAGCTGAGAGACCCTAGCTTCTCTAAATCCACTCTCCCCTCTCCATCCACCTCCTGACGGCCGAGATGGCAGCAACGCTGAGCCTAGAGCCCGCGGGCCGCAGCTGCTGGGACGAGCCGCTGCGCATAGCCGTGCGCGGACTCACCCCCGAGCAGCCCGTCACGCTGCGCACGGCCCTAAGCGACGAGAAAGCCGTGCTCTTCCGCGCCCACGCGCGCTACCGCGCCGACGCCGGCGGCGAGCTGGACCTGGCGCGCGCGCCCGCGCTGGGCGGCAGCTTCGCGGGGCTCGAGCCCATGGGGCTGCTCTGGGCCCTGGAGCCCGACAGGCCTCTCTGGCGCCTGCTCAAGCGGGACGTGCAGACGCCCTTCGTGCTGGAGCTGGAGGTGCTGGACGGCCACGAGCCCGACGGCGGGCGGCTGCTGGCCCGGGCGGTGCACGAGCGCCACTTCCTGCCGCCCGGGGTGCGGCGGGTGCCCGTGCGCGCGGGCCGGGTGCGCGCCACTCTCTTCCTGCCGCTGGGTGAGCCGCTCGGTCCTGTCCCTACAGATTTACACTGAAGAAAAACGTAGTTCCTAATGTTCTAGGACTCAGAGTGGAGGAAACGGCTGGACCCAAAGGGTGCCTGATGTGGTATTGCTGTTTCTCCAAGATTTTCCTTTCCACTCCCACAGCAAGGTTAAGCTTTGTGTAGACTAGCAGCTATAATGGGAGGGAGGACTTTTCTGTCAACTAGCCATCTGAGATCACCCGACATTTTTACATAAAGGGATGCTTACTTAGCTTCTTTAGTGACCAAAATGAAACTACAGAATACATTACCCAACCTCAAGAGTGGTAAAACTTTCCAAAGCCTAACTTTACCAATTCATGTCAAGTGCCTGAAGGAAAAGTCACCCAAATATAAAGGCAGAGAGAGGTGAAGTGTTCGGTTATTCTGGGGAACAATTCGATTTTAAGTAGATAGATGAATATATCAACCTCTTAAGAGTCCATACATCCCCAACAATGGAATTGATGACTAACTGAAAGTACATTTCTAGCAGTCAAAGTAACTGAACCACAGCTGTGGGACTCAATGTGTAGGAATCTCCAAAGCAGCAGTGGGTGAAACAATCAAATCCCAGGAGAGCACGTTCAAGATGTGTCTGTCCCAATCAGCTGGCTGAAGTCCTTGTGCTCTGCCCTACTTGGAATCACAGGTAGGCAGAATAGCACCTGAAGTGCTGGTCTCTCGCACGTTCGTTTGCTCCCAGTGTTCTGTAGCAGGGATAGTCAGGCGGCAGCAGCACTAAGTGTCCTCCTCTAGTGTCACAGTCCTGCTTTGAGTATCAGAACCCTTAGTAGCCCATCACCAGGCTACTAAGCCAGGGTTACAGCTCTCATCCTGCAGTCTGAGACCCTGAACCCCTTCAGACTTGACAGCTGTCTGGGACTCTTCTGGAAACTAGAGCCTGCAGGTTCTCCTCTTTGGCTCCTTGCAACCTCTTACCTGTCTTTAGTCTCAGCACTCTGTTCCCTCTCATCATCTTTATTTCTGTTTCTTCCTTCTCCGGCCACTCTTGTTTGGTTTCTTTTTCAGCCAGTTGCCTGAACCCTTTCACACTCAGGAAGCATGCCCCTGCCAGAGGATGGGGTTCAAGCTAAGGCACTCTCCAGCTGATTGGAAGCTGGGGTATGCTCAGGAACTGGGTTGCCAGTGCTGGGCACCCACCATCACAGCAAGTGCCGCTCAAGGGTGAGAGCAGTGACCTACCTTAGCAGTTTCACAGCTTGGTCTGCTAGTCTGCCATCGCTGCCTTCTTTCTTTGTGTTATCAGCCTAGCCCACACTGAAAGTAGCCAAAAAAAGACCACTCAAGAGAAGTCTTCCATTGGGTCTAATGCTAAGCCAGGGGAGGCAGTGCAAGGGAGTGTCTACCAGGGACTTGCTGGACCCCAAGTAATCTCCTGTTTACAGAGCTAGAAGGTGTGTTTGACTAATCATAGCTTTGCTTCTTGGTACTACTAACACGGTCCTGCTGGCAGACCAGGGGAGATTCTGACCACAGCAAAGTCTGGTATGAATTGTTTGGAACGGTCCTGGCTGCAGCTCCACCTTCAGGAGCCATGGCAGTCAAGCATAGTTTTTGTGTGGTTGTCTTGTGTTGTCCATAGTGTTCAGGATGGCGGGTGCTGGTGGGCTGGCTATTAGGCCATTTTCCTTTTGCTCAAGGCAGCTAAAACTGCAAAGAAGAGTACAACAGCCACTAATTAGGGAATCAGATTCCCCTATCCCAACATCTTTGATTATTATAGGAAAATGAACATTAGGAGAGCTTACACTATAAACTTGAGGAACTTCTCACTAACAAGGATTTAAAAAAATTATTATTTTATGTGTATGCATGTATTACCTGCATGTAGGTAAGTGCACCTATGTCATGCAATGCATATGGAGGTCAGAAGAGAATGTCAGATCCCCTGGGACTGGAGTTATGGACAGTTGTTAGCTGCCATGTGGGTGCCGGGATTTAAACCCAGGTCTTCTGCGAGAACTACCAGTGTCCTTAACCACTGAACTATCTCTCCAGCCCCACTAACAAGGATTTTTAAGAAACTTTAATAGTGCATGCCACCTGCCCATACCCAAGGCCTTTTCTTTGCCTCAGTTACATTAAGATAAAATTCACAAAATAGGCAAAATAAATATAATTATTGCATGAGGGCCATGTATGTGGAGGTCAGGGGACAACTTATGGGAGTTCCCACTTTCTACCATGTGGGGTGTCAGGCTTGGTAGGTGCTTTTAACCACTGAGCTTTCTGAAACAAAATATTCAATGTACATACATAAGTGGTGATACCAGGAGGCATCAATACACAAAATCTAGAGTGGAAAAGAAGGAACGGGCAAAGGTAGGGCTTCTGAAGCAATGTGCTACCTGCTAGGTGTTTGCTGGCAGTATAAGGGTTTTCTAGAGGAACAGAACTGATAGAATGAATGTATATTGTGAAAAGGGATTTATTAGATTGGTAAGGGGGTAGATAATCCAATATGACTATCTGCATGCTGGAGAGGCTGAGAACCTGGTAGCTGCTCAGTCCTTGAAGCTGGATGCCTTAGCAGTCCCAACCTGACACTGAAGGTCTCCAGAATTTCTAGAGAGCCATAGGTCTTTAGTCCATGTTGGAAGGATAAAGAATCTGGGTTTCCAGTGTCAGCCAAGGATGGCAACAAGCAGCAGCAGCAACAACAACAACAACAATGGGATAGATACACTCACACACAAAAGAAGAGTGGCAAACAAAACAGGACTGCCTTTCCCCTCAGACCTCTTTGTATCTGGGCTACCACCAGAGGTACTGCCCACCCTGGGGGAGGATCTTTTCTCCACAGTTAACCCTTCTGGGAAATGCTTGGAGGGTGTCTCTCAGTTGACTCCAGATCCAAACAGGTTGAAATCAAGATTATCCATCACTGGGAGCTAAAGAGATGGCTCAGCAGTTAAGAGTACTGGGTGCTCTTGTAGATGACCCTGGTTAGGTTCCCAGCACCCACATGGTAGAGAACAACTGTCTGTAACTCCAGTTCCAGGGAATCTGATGCCCTCTTCTGGCCTCTGCAGGCATTGCATGACATGGGTGCACTTACATATATGCAGGCAAAACACCCATACACATAAAATAAAAAATAAACTTTAAAAATTATCATACTGGGTTATTGTTTATTGTGTGATGGATCTGGTTGCTACACATCCTCAATGGCAGTTGGTTTTATCATTATGGGGGCAGAAGAGGGTAACATTTTTACTGTTGTTATTGTTTTATTTGCAAAGTGTAACTCAGTGGTTCATGCTGAACAAGCATTTCATTCCCACCTCCTTTGTTGTAAACATCTGTGGAGATTTGAGGCGTTAGGTGTAGAGGGCCACTCTCTGCATGCTGAAAGACCAGAAGTCTTTCAGCATTTACAATTTTTATTTTATTTTATTATTTTTATTTTATGTGTATGAGTGTATTACCTGCATGTATGTAAGTGCACCCATGTCGCCCAGTGCCCACAGTTGTCAGAAGAGGGTGTTGGATCCCCTGGAACTGGAGTTACAGATGGCTGTTAGCTACCATATGGATGCTGGGAATTGAACCCGGGTCCTTTACCAGAGCAGCTAGTGCTCTTAACTACTGAGCCATTTCTCCAGCCCCAGCATTTTAAATTTTTCAAAATTTTTATTTGCCTTCAGCATTTTTGATTATCAGTTGCAAACCTTGTCATCCTCAAAACAGGAACAAGTGACTTTTGATGCTACTGCAGCAAAATATTTAGTTTTGTTTTGTTTCTTCCCCAGAACCTGGCCCCTATCCTGGGATTATAGACCTTTTCGGAGTTGGAGGTGGCCTTCTGGAGTACCGAGCTAGTCTGCTTGCTGGGAAGGGTTTCGCTGTCATGGCTCTGGCTTATTATAACTACGATGACCTCCCTAAGGGCATGGACACCATGCGCATGGAGTACTTTGAAGAAGCTGTAAACTACCTGCTTAGCCACCCTGAGGTTAGATCTTCCCTAAGTTCTATGGGCCCCTAATCAGATCTCCTCATGTTTGCTCTTGGTAGACTGAGCACATTTATGACTGCCCCTCTCTACTCAACACACTCTGCCTTTCATGGTCACTTCTCAGTCAGTCCGGGACATTATGGTAAAGAACTCGCTCTGGGTTTGACAGAGAAAGTAAAGGGAAAGAAAAAGGGGATGCCCATCCCCAGAAGGTGCTCATTCAAATGCTTGTGTTTTATAGTCCTCTCTGAAGCACAGGGTGAACGTTAATGGGGACTAGCTGTTTTGAGATACTAGATTCAGCACATCCCAGGTTGAGGTGAAAATCCTTGCTTATTTTATAATTTTATATTCAGAACTTAACATGGCTAGAAGATTGGAGCTCTTTCAAAGGTGGAGCCAGTGTAGGTTGTATCTGGAGAAAAGTTAAGTTGGAGGTTTAATTTTGCCATTTTCTACCTCCACGACCTCAACTCTCTGTTTTCTCCCTGGATAAACAGATGTCCTATTTTCATTTCTGTTGCTATGATTAAAAAAATCTAGACAAAAGAGCAACTTAGAGGAGAAATTTTATTTTAGCTCCCAGCTCCAGATTACAGTTTATCATAGTGAGAAATTCCCAGTGGCAAAAGCTCAAAGGAGTTGATCACATCCATAAAGAGGATCAGAGAGCAAAGAATACATGCATGCTAGTGGTCAGCTCTCTTTTCTGTTCTATTAGTCCAGAGCCCACCCATGAAATGGTGCTGCCCACATTGAGAGTGAGTCTTCCCACCTGAATTAACTGAATTAAGAAAACCCTCACAGGCATGCCCACAGGCCAACCCAGTCCAGACAATTCTGGATTGATGCTTTCTTCCCAGGTGATTCTGCATTGTGTCAAGGTGACATTTAAAAACTGACCATCACAGTATCTCAGTTAAAATATCATTTAATCATGTAATTCTTAGTGCTTTAGTAAGGAGTAACATTTTAAAGTAGTCAAGGGTGCTGTTGCCAGGAATAGGCAGGGGTGGAGGGCAGAGACTGAGGTTGAGATTGATTGAGAGGTCAACCAAAAGGCCATTTGCTTATAACCTAGAGGACACTAGGATTAAGGACAGGAGCAATCCTGTGGGGCAGTGCCAACCCAAACCATCGGTAAGGCACTGTATAGGGAATGGATGAAAAGAAAATTCAAGAAACAGTCTTTCTCTCAGAGTAGAGAAGACATTTACTAGCATAACTAGAGTCTCAGGACTATAAGTAAATGGAAGATGTACCAGAGCGGGAAGGACCTGAGGGGAATGAGCCAGAGACAGAACCGTAAAGGAAGATAGGAAGCAGGAATGGTAGGCCAGTCCTGGAGAAAGAGAGTAGATACCATCCCAAACACAAGTAGAGGGGCCTTGAGATCGGGTGCATATGCAAGAGCTTGATTTGACCTGGACGTAGGGAGACTGGAGAGTGAGACAGTGTGGCATTCCCACCCCATAGCTTTTTGCTTTCTCAGTGAAGTATGAACAGCTGAAGGTGATGGTACATGAGGGCATTAAAGAGGCTGGAAGAGGTAGGAGAGGATGAGATGTCCTTTGGAGAAGTGGAGAGCAGAACACCAGTGTCCATGCTGGTGCTCATGTGAAATGAAAGGTCAGCCAGCAGAAATGCCTATTTTCCTCAGCAGTTCCATTTGGTCCATTGTCTCAATAGTCTAATAGTCAAAGGGAGAAACACAAGTGTCTTTTTAAGACATCCTCATTCTTGCCGGGATGGCTCCAAGAATGGGTAAGAGCCAGATCTAAGCTGAGATCACCTGACTTTCAGGCTAGGCATACTCACTGAACTATGGTTCTCCTGGACTAATTCTGTTATTCTTTTGTCCTTTTCTCAGGTAAAAGGTCCAGGAATTGGGCTGTTTGGGATTTCCAAAGGGGGAGAACTTGGCCTTGCTATGGCCTCTTTCCTGAAGGGCATCACAGCTGCTGTGATCATCAACGGCTCTGTGGCTGCTGTCGGGGGAACCATTTACTACAAGGATGAGAGTGTACCCCCTGTGTCCATACTGAAAGATCGTGTCAAAATGACCAAAGATGGCCTCATGGATATTGTGGATGGTCTGCAAAGCCCTTTGGTAGAATCAAAGAGCTTCATCCCCGTGGAGAGGTCTGATACCACCTTCCTGTTCCTGGTAAGTCAGGATGACCACAACTGGAAGAGCGAGTTCTATGCCAATGAGGCCTCCAAACGCTTACAGGCTCATGGGAAGGAAAAGCCCCAGATCATCTGCTATGCAGAAGCGGGGCACTACATTGAGCCCCCTTACTTCCCCTTGTGCAAAGCTGGCATACACCTCCTGGTCAGTGCTAATATCACCTTTGGAGGGGAGCCTAAGGCTCATGCCATGGCCCAGGTAGATGTGTGGCAACAACTCCAGGCTTTTTTCCACAAACAATTGGGTGATAAGAATTAGGAGTTAGTTTGGGGGAAAAGGTACAAATATATTGTTTGACCATCAACTCTGATTAGTTCATTTGAGCATATAACTCCTGTAGCTTTTAAGGTTTTTTTTAAAAAATATTTTCTTTGTTATTTTTATTTTATGTGTATGAGTGTATTGCCTGCATATATGTGAGTGCACCCGTGTTGTGCAGTGCTTCAGTGGTCAGAAGAGGGCTTCGGATTCCCCTGGAACTAGAGTTAAGAACAGTTCATAGCCAACATGTGGGTGATGAGAATCAAATCCAGAACTCTGGAAGAACAGAAAGTATTCTTAACCACTCACAGCAGTCAGTGCTCTTTTTAAATTTTTTTTGTCTTTTGAGACAGGGTCTCCTTGTAGCCCCAGCTGTCCTGGAACTCACTATGTAGACCAGGCTGGCCTCGAACTCACAAAGATCCGCCTGGCTCTGCTTCCCAAGTGCTGGGATTGAAGGTGTGCGCCACCACGCACAGCTTTTAAGTTTTAAAAATTAATATTATTAAAAATAGTGCCCATCCCAGGGGTGGAAATATGATTCAGTACCAGAGCACTTGACTAGCCTGTGCAAGACCCTGGGTTCAATCTCAAGTAGAAAAAAATAACAAAAAAAGAGAAATGTTTTAAGGAAATGGTACCTATCCAAAAAATTGTTTTTTTGGTGGGGGGGGGGAGTCAGGGTCTCCATATAGCCCTAGCTGTCCTGGAACTCACTATGTAGATCAGGCTCGTCTTGAACTCACAGAGATCTGCCCACCTGCCTCTGCCTCCCAGTGCTGGGATTAAAGGTGTACACCACCACGCCCAATCCTATCCAAAAAATTATATCAGGAATAAAAAAGGAATCATGAATATCTACACTGTTGTTTAATTAAATATTATTACAGACAAAAATTGTGTCCTTTGCTTCTTGTGCTGGTATTGCCGCTGTCATTTCCTTCCAGGAAGTGACTTGGGGTGATTTGGCTTGTTGCTGTTTTGTAGAATAAGAGGTAAGAGTTCAAAATTAATTTAAAAAATTTTAGTCATCTTGCTGGGCATGGTGTTGCATGCCTGTAGTCCCAGCACTTAGGAGGCAGAGGCAGGTGGATCTCTGTGAGTTCAAGGCCAACATGGTCTACATAGTGAGCTCTAGGCCAGCTGGGACTGCAGGGAGACCCTGTTTTAAAAAGAACAAAACAATTTTTTTTATCATCTCGTAAGCCACCCACTTAGAAGATTTTTCACCTTTCCAATTTACTTCACATGTCAAATGGCCCCTAAATGGTCCACACTGATTGTTTTGACAAATTCTTGTGTAGTTGTAAGAAGATTAGTGTTGGTCCTTGCTCTCAATTGGTCACTGTCAACTTTTGACAGCTCCTCTGCAAAACTTCTTGAACCATAACTTCATGGTACATCCATTAGTTCCTGGGCCAAATGCATTGTTAATGTTACTAGTTATTGCTGCTGTTTTTAAAAAAAATATTTTCTTTATTAATTTTAGTTTATGTGTATGAGTGTATTGCCTGTATATAGAGGGTGACAGATCCCGTGGAACTGGAGTTATGGATGGTTGTTAGCCACCATGTGGGTGCTGGGAATCGAACCCAGAACCTCTGGGAAAACAGCAAGTGTTTTTAACCACTTCAGCCCCTTGCTGCTGTTTTAAGACTCTTTTTAAAAAATTTTTTAAATTTTATTTTTATTTTATGTGTATGAGTGTATTGCCTGCATGTATGTGAGTGCACCCGTGTTGTGCTATGCCACAGAGGTCAGAAGAGGGCTTCGGAGTCCCCTGGAACTGGAGTTAAGGAAGGTTTGTAGCTGCCATGTGGGTGTGAGAATCAAGTCTGGGTCCTCTGCAAGAGCAGTCAGTGCTCTCAACCGCTGAGCCATCTCTCCAGCCCCATGTTTTATGACTCTTTAAATTCAAATAAGAAAATCACTTGAATTTTTTTTGTCTAGCATCATTTCTGTAGTACAAAATAAATATAAACAGCAAGTAATGTTATTAGCAAAAAGAGTGAGACATGTAGCTCAGTGGTTAAGAGGCTGCTCTTGCAGAAGACCTGGATTTGAATCCCAGCCCCGACATGGCTAACCAGTTCCAGGGCCTCCAACACCCTCTTCTGACCTCCATGGGCATTGCATGACATGGGTGTACTTACATACATGTAAGTGATACATTCATACACATAAAATAAAAATAATACATATTTTTAAAAAATATTTTATTTATTATTTTTATTTTATGTGTATGAGTGTTATACCTATATGTAGGTAAGCGCACCCATGTTGTGCAATGCCCATGGAGGACAGAAGAGGCTGCTGGATCACCTGGAACTTGAGTCATCTTTCCAGCCCTAAAAATAATATTCTAAGTAAATGGAATCTGAAAGTAAGCAGATATAGTTACACTTATGTTTGACAAAATAAGCTTCAAGACAAAAACATCAAGAAGAGATGAAGAAAGTCACATAATGGATCAAGGGAGCCATTAATCATGAAAACAGAATGATTAAGACTTTATATGCACTGGGCATGGTGGTACATGCCTTTAATCCCAGTCCTTGGGAGGGAGATCTCTGTGAGATTGAGGCCAACCTGGTCTACATAGTGGGTTCCAGGTCGGCTGCGGCTTCAGGGAGACTATCTCAAAGAATAAAAAAGAATTTATACACAATGAATACCAAAACATCTAATTTTATAAAACAAACTTGTGCTTCTCAGTTTTTCCAGCATTGTGACAAATAGCTGATTAAAACAAACAAACAAACAAAAACAAAACAAAACTCAGAGATAATTACAGAGTTCCACAACTAGTCACACACAGAGATGTCTGTGAATTGCCCAAACCTAAGTGGCACATCTAAGATGCAACCTCTATACCTAAGGCTCACAGAACATAGAATAAGGGATGAAGAGAACTCTAATGCATCTTTCAATTCTTATCAATGAAGCTTCCTCATGCAACAGAGGGCCAGGAACACAAAAGGCCACAAATGGCCAAAACATAGAAAATAAAAGTCGGCAGAGTGTGGGCCCTTGGACAGGTCTCCCATATTGAAGTCCACCCACCCAGGGCACAGGGACCATTGCAGAAGTCGGGGGCAGAAAGATTGTAAAAGCCAGGGAGGAGGTACAGGACCATACAGAGATAGTCCTACAGGCACCTGGGACTCCTCATATGAACTACAGCAATGATGTCAGCATACACAAGACCAATGCAAATTTAAGCAGACAAAAACCCAGCACAGAACCGTGGAAATGAACATCAGGACCCAATTTTAGTCGAAGAATTATTGGCAGCTGATTACTGCTTGGTGAGGAAGAGCTGATTTTCTTAAAGGGAGGAACTCTAGATAGGCTGACTAGATCCCAGTGGATGAACTTGCACTGAGGGACATCTAGGGACACTAACTTTACATGATAGGTCTTAATACAAATGAGGGGGAGGGGGAGGCTATCGGAGGGTGCCAAAGGGGTAGAGGGTATAAAGATGGTTTTCTGTATGAAATACACAAAAATTCAATAAAAAGTTTAAAAAAAATGAAGAGAGGAAGGTTTCAGTTTTGAAGGTTTCAGTTCATAACTGGTGGGTTCCAATGTTTGGGGCTTGAATTGAGGCATAGCTTCAGAGGAGCAAGGGTGATGTGGCAAAGCAGCTCACCTTATAGCCAACAGGAGGCAGAAAGACAAGAAGGCAACAGAGACATGACATATCCTTCAAAAACATGGCCCAGTGACCTGCTCCCTACAGCTAGGCTCCACATCTTAAGAGCCAATTATCTCTGAATTCAGCAATGGAATAAGCCACTGATATAGTTAGAGCCCTCATCATAGTCACCTTCTCAACAGCATCATCAGCTAGGGACCAAGTCTTCAACCTTAAACCTTTTTGGGGAACACTTCATATCTAAGCCATAACACTACAGCACATAAAGTGAAGTACAAGAATAGACAGGACTTTAATGGCCTACTCAGACCATTAGATAAATAATTTAGACAAAAAAAGTAAAAAAAGAAACATCAGGATTAAGATACAGTGTTGATCAAAAGGACTTAATAGATGTTTACAGAATATTCCATCCAACCGTTACATAAAATACATTGTTTTCATCAGTGTATGGAAGTTTTTGTAGAATAGACCATATATTAAGGTACAAAGCAAGCCTTACCAAAATGAGAAAGTTGAAATAATGTTATGTATCTTCTCTGATCACAATGGAATGAAATTAGCAATCAAAAACAAGGAAGCTGGGCTGGAGAGATGGCTCAGTGGTTAAGAGCACTGGCTGAGAACCCAGGTTCAATTCCTGACACCCACATGGCAGCTAATAACTGTCCTTAACTCCAGTTCCACGGGATCCAATGCCCTCTTCTGGCCTCTTCGGGCACTGCATGACATGGGTGTACTTACATACATGCAGGCAAGCATAACACTCATACACATAAGAATAAATAAATTTTAAAAAAGGAAGCTTTACAAATACAAGTACATAGATATTGAATGCTCTTAATTAATTAATTAATTAATCAATTAATTTGTGTTATGGATCAAACCCAGGGCCCTATCATATGGTAGGCAAGTGCTCACCACTGTTACATCCCTGAACATCAAATATTTAAACAAGCAGTAGCTTATTGAAGAAGTTGGGGGAGGGGGTCATTTTAAAATTATTTGAACAACTGAAAATGGAAACACATCATACAATACTCTCTGGGAACCTGCAACAGTAATACCCAGAAGGGAGTTTATAGAAATGAGTACCTACATTTGAAAAATAAATCTCAAATAAATAACCGCATGATACGTCTCAGTGTCTTAAAGGAGCACAGACAAACTGAACCCAAAATCAGCAGAGATAAATAAGATAACAGAAATAATGAAAGAAAAACAAAGAACAATAGAAAAGATTGCTGAGTCAGTTCTTTCAGAAGATAAAATTGGCAAACCAGTAGCTAAACTAACTCCTATAGAGGAGAGAGAGGGAAAGAGTAAAGGAGAAATCCCTAGTACACAAAATTAGAGATTAAAAAAAGATACAACTGATATGGTAAAAAATTAAAAGATCATTAGGGAAAACTTTGAAAAACT